TCTCTTCGTTAAACTAGTAATACCCAATTCCAGCAACCGTTCCTTATATGTTTTAGCCTCCAGTCCCCTAATCATCTTTGTTGTTCTTCTCTGTACTCTTTCTAGAGTCTCAACATCTTTTTTACATCATGGTGACCAAAACTGGATTTAGTATACCAAGTGTGGCCTTACCAAGGCATTGTAAAGTGGTATTAATACTTCATGTGATCTTGATTCTATCCCTTTGTTAATGCAGCCTAGCACTGTGTTGGTCTTTTTGGCAGCTGCAGCACACTGCCGGCTCATATTTAGGTGATTGTCTACTAGGACTCCGAGGTCCCTCTCACAGTTACTACTATTGAGCAAAGTGCCACCTATGGTGTACTTGTGCATTTGGTTTTTCTTGTCTAAATGTAGAACCTTGCTTTTTTCACCATTGAATTTCATTTTGTTAGATAGTGCCCAGTGTTCAAGTCTGTCCAGATCCTTCTGTATCTTAAGCCTGTCCAGATAATTGCATAGAATACTGTCAAAGAAAAAGGAATGATTGAGATTAAAAGAGGAAGAGAAAATGCATGGTAATGTTAATAGAAATTAAGTGTTTTGGAAGTAAAGCAGACGAAACAAGGATTAGCAGTAAAATAATTGGAATAAAAAAAATGAACATGATAAGATGATTTGGCATGAAACTGAAGTGAGGGAATTCTGGAAGGAATGTTTTAAAGATTTATATAGAAACCATAGTAATTTCAATCTAAAAAGAATAGGAAGAATATTCTATAGAGAATAATTCTAACTCAATAATCCCTCTGTAAAACTGTTATCAACAGCTCTTGAGGCAGTCTGAACTTCCTGAGTTGAAGCAGGAAGAACATTCTATACAACATTCTATAGAGAATGTTCTTCCTGCTTCAACTCAAGAAGTTGAGACTGCTCCAGGAACTTTTGATACACTTTTACAGAGGGATTATTGAGTTACAATTATTCTCTATAGAATGTTCTTTTGAGTTATTGAGTCTGTCATTTGTACTTCTATAATTATCTGATTTGGTACAGCAACCAAACAGGATAGGCACAGACTCCAATGGATAGTTAAGACTGTAGAAAGAACAATTGCCTTCCATAGAATATCCGTATATTGTGTGGATCAGAAGGAGGGCTGAGAAGACATCTGTAGACCCTCACATCCTGGACATAAACTGTTTCAACTCCTCCCCTCAGGATGGTGCTATAAGGCATTGCAGGCCAAAACAACTAGACACAGGGACAACTTTTTCCCTGGTACCATCACTCTGCTGAACACCTAATTCTCACAGTGCTGTCCAAGGTTTATGCGTATTTACCCATGTAGTATGGCTGTAATATTATTGTTTATCCTTCTTATCATGTTTACTCACCTTATTGGTATTATTATTATGATTATCATTATTCTGTTACTTGGCATGTACACTGAGAGTTTCTGCACTGGAGACAAATTCCTTGTGTGTTTAATCACACTTGGCCAAATAAAGTATTCAATTCATTTCAATACAGAATTGCAACATATGCTGTAAGTATCCAAGAAAAAAACCTTATGAAAAGAAAGACAATGTGAGAATGTTACAAGTTTAAGTCTTTTCATTTACAAAATATTCAGCTGTGGATGTGATTTCCATATGCAATGTCTGAGCAACTTGTCTGAGAGCTGTAAAGACTGTATCTGTAAAGCCTGACATTGTATTCTTATATCAAGGAAAATATGGCAAAAGTGAATTTAAAAGCTACAGAGAAAGTGGGCCAACAAATGTATTTTAGAAAGAATTTGACATAATTCTGACCAAACTGTACAAGGAATGACAATGAACAAAGTGTGGAAAGTGCCATGTGACCTTAAACCAAGCAGCATATGCAGAAAGATTTTTGCTCTTCAGCAACAGAACTGTATGTAGATGAGAAAGAAAGTGTGTTGGACATCCACTGATTTAGGAGAAAGCATATGATAAAATGATTAGGCGTGAATTATGGACTCTTTTGCATTAAAAATGGAGTTGTAGGTTGGTTGTTGAATGAAGTAAGGGCAGTGAGTAATGGAAAGGAAGCATGTGTCACAATAAATGGAATGCTTAGCTAATAGGTCACCACTGAGCAAAGAGCAAGGCAAAGATGGCCCCTTGGTTGTTCAAAGCACTTATGGCTAAATCTGTAAGAAATTCTTGGGTCACATTTGAAATGTGTTAGTTGTATGCAAATATGCTCTGTTATTGAGAACCAGAATGATTTGCAGTGAATATTAGCTAAATTATATGATGCATCAAGAAACATAAGGTGCCATGTTAATTATGCTTGATAATTGAAAGCAAAGTGAATGAATCAAGTTACAGAAAAAACCAAGTATATGAATTTTTGTCCCTGGAATGTTAAGGAAATGGAAACATTTTATGAAGTGAAAATATTGGTAGGAATATAATGGGAGTATGTGGTCAGTTACAAGACCTGAATATTTGTTGAAAGAAATGAACCGTTAGCTAAAGAAATGTGCTTCTGTTCATTTTGTTATATGAAAGTGAGATTTGGGTATGTCAGGAGAAGCATAAAGGTAGGTTCAATGGAGGGAGAATGGTGCATTTAGAAAGTCTGGAAAACAAGAAATTTATTGTAGATGTGAGTGATCAGTACATTGAGGTGGCTTAATCATTCAGAGAGAATAAATGAGAATCAAACTGCAAAACAAAGAGTGTGTCAAAAGGAATGGGAAGACTGCAAAAGTGGTGGCTAGCTGGTACTGAGATCCTCAAAGAGAGAGGTGAAAAGTTCAAAGAACAATAAGCAATATGTGGTCTACTCGGATATAGGATGGTTTGCAAAGTAACAGTATAAGTGAATATTGTTGGTGTAAGCTAGTTTTAGGTTTACCTCCTTCTCTTTTTCTCACAGTATGCCTTTTTTGCTTATTATTTCTTGCTATTTTCTGGGTTGCTGCTGATAACCCCAGAAGAAAATAGTTCCTTGATGTAGGATGTGTGCCCCAATATAGCTGGAAAATTGTACCCCAACATAGTCAACAAATGCATCTTAAAGCTGAGCTAGCTATGCTTTACAAATGATATTTACATAATGTCCACTTAGATAGGTCAAAGTTAAGTCCATTCTCAGCCATAAAACTCACAGGGTGTTTCAAGACGATCATTCAGTGACAATTCAAGCTACCTCACAAGGTTGTTCTGTGGATCAGACAAATCACCATAGAAACTGCCTTGAGCTCCTGGAAATAGAAAGGGATAGATGTGTAATAAAATATTAAACTAAATAAAGACCAGTGGACTACAAGGATAAAAATGGCTGTGTTTTAAGGTGAAGAAGGCAGAGATAATAATATATAGTATTTGACTGCTTGTGTGCATCCATGTACAGGTCAGTTCTCAAGCTCCCCCTTCTTTCCTGTTTCCTGGCAAGAGCTCCATCTTTTTAACATTTTAATGCGGTATGTATATATATAAATCTGCATAAGTAATTTTAGAACAGTCCTGAAGATTAGGGAAGAGGTTCACTAGTAAAATTGGGTGTAAGCCATAATACATTCCCATTCTTTCCCCATCTCTCCCATACATAAATATTCCCTCTGAGGGCATTCAATCCTTAGCAATTGAGCATTTCTCTAGTTTTTAAATGTTTGCTTGGCTGCACTTCTCACCTGCTCCCTCAACTTAAAAGGATGGGAAGCATCTGGGTCTGCCTGAGAGAGCCGAAAGCTACATTTTCCAGCAATCCTACCTAGAATGGCCAATGGAAAGGGGTGCTGGGAATTGTATTTTGGAATGGGCCAACTCACTGAGGGACAATTCAACAATTCAATTTAATTATTTAAAATAATTTAAAAACATTTTAATTTTTCTCATTCTCATTTCATGTTGTCCCTCCTTTGGCATCTTTTCTTTAATGATTCTATTCCACTATTTCTTCAATATTAGTGTAATCTTGTCCTGTGGCAAGTTGGGGTCATGGCAGATTGACAGTGGCGAGTTATTGTAAACCCATTGTATTTCAGCCTGTCTCTTAATTAGGAAAGAGAGCAGTTTGGTATAGCGGTTAAAAGCTCCAGGTTAGAAACTAGGAGTTCGAACTTTTAAAGCAAGCTGGATGACCTTGGGCCAGTCACTTTCTCTCAGCCCCAGAAAAAGAGGCAAGGGCAAGCTAATTTTGAAATGCCTTGCCGAGAAAACTGCGGGGACTAGTCAATACTGACTCTAAGGCGGACACAGACGTTAAGGAAAGGTGAAAGATCTTCACCGCCTAATCATGGCAGGTCCGAAAATGCTTTGCTGCAAGCTGGCGCCCTCTGGAGCGGCTGAGGCCTCCCGAGTTTGGCAGCTCCATTTTCCCCAGCAAGTTGGGCGGGAAAGCGAAGTGGCGGAACTTTCCAATTGCGAGGGCTAAACTGTGCTTCTTTCCTCTCAATTATTCTGTTGTGACGGGACCAGGAGACAAATTGGCATGTCAGAGGCAGCTGGAGTGGGTTTGGAAAGCGAATTGTGCAAATGAATACAGATGGGCTTCAGGCGGCTGGGTTTGCTCGCCGTTTAATCCAGGGCGTGCTTGCAATCAAACAAGCGCTTCCACGCCGAGGCCTAAATTGGATGAAAATTGCCCTTGAGCAACTATAGAAACCCAGAAAGGAAACGGTGCGTGTGTGTGTACGAGCACCGGATTAAAACAACAGCAGATTTGGGGGAAGGTATTTGGGTGGGGGGAATGAGGTCCATTTGTGTTAAAGGGAAGGGGTAGGTGGGAACACGCGTCCCCCGGGGCGGTCGGAAACATCTGTCTCCTCGGAAAATGTAAGCAAGGCAAAGGAGCTGTCCCGGCAGGGCTTTATTGAAACAAAAATTGACTTGATTGTTGGGGATTACGGAGCGTGGCACGGAACGGCGCGGAGGGTAATAGATTTGTTAGCATAATAGAGCCCGTCGCCAGGAGCTGTTAGCGTCACGCCTGGGTGGAGACCACGTTTCGCGGATGTCTCGTACATTACGAAATTGAGCCCCCCCCCACCAACCCGGCGACAGGAGCTCTTCCAGGCTTCCCACACACGCATCCATTTGCCAGCGAGGGAAAAGCTGGCAGGGGGTTCGTGGGGATCTAGGAAGCCGAGTGAAGAGGTGGCAGCCTCCAGGTATTGCGAGGAGCCGGCGGGAGGATAGGGGATCGTTGTCAAGTGTTTACTGGCTATTGTTCCACGAAGTTTTATGCGGTTGTCAAAAGCCCGGAGGGTGAATGAAATATGAAGATTGCACGTGAAACGGTGCACTTCGAAACAGACTCTCCTCGGCGGCGGTGGCGGGAACGGGCCGGCGCGCAGGGCGGGAAAAAGCACCCGGGTAGCGACTTATGTCTCGGGACCGCTGGAACGAACGTTGCGTCCGGAGTTAGGCGCTGTGATGCAGCCAGGAAGCTCACGGGCACAAATGCAGATAGGCGACCCGGTGTCAAAGATTGGCTGCTTTGGCATAATGCACATTTTGATTTTACCTCTTCTCTGAGCCCGGAATCCTACGCGACGAAAGTCATTTATTTTATTCTCTGAGAAGGAGGATGAGCAAAGAGTGACTGGCTCAGAGCCGTTCAGTGTTGTAAATGGGGCCTGGAATCCGGCTCTCTCAACATCTTAGACGGAATTTCTAGTTACTGCACAAGATAGAGTGGATTGCAAAGCGATTTTGGTTTATTCATCACTACTGCTAAGACACAGGTCTTGTTAAACCATGATTAAGTAAGCTGCAATGCTTGTGTTCACACCATCAGATAAATGAGGAAGTTTACTAGAGCAAAGTAAAAAGCCCTGCCCCCTCACTGTACAATTGCCGGTGTAAGGAAATACATCCAGTGTTTTGCAAATACACATTTACCCCGACCAGATTTTCTCAGCCTTCCATGGCTCTACTCACAGAAGCCTTTTTGAATATAATGAAGGAAGTGTGTTGACTTTGGGGACTCTTCTCTCCTTTTTCAGCCCCAGCGTTCTGCAAGAATGAATCTTATTTACCCAAATCTTTAGGCTCTCTGGGGAGATTTTTATGTTTCTCCTGGTTGTTTTGAATCTTACTGGCTCTGTTTTTTTTTTTTGTTGTTCTGATATCTACTTGAGATAACTTACCCAGGATCAATTTAAATAGGGGCATTTGCTCTTTAAACATGTCTTTTAATTGTTGATACCTATGGAAGTGGAAGAAAGGGATATAGCTCAGATACATAAAATTGTGTAAGTCATTTCTGAAATGCACTGGAGTACACATGTACATGTCTAGGACTGGAATGATGAAGAGTCACTCCTCTTCCTTTCATGCCACTGCTGTTCTGTCCTGTACACACAGATCCTCGTCATCACTTTATGCTGTGTAATGCAGTATCAATTAAGGTATTTGGCCTTAATTGGTGATAATGAGCCTGTCCTCCTTGGGGATGCCTAAGGTAATTAGTGCTCTCTGCCCTACCTCTCCCAGCCCATTTTCAAGGCTAGCCAGTGGCAGGCTGGCTCTCTGCCCAGCGGCTGCATGGGGAGGCTGCTCTTTATTAAGGGCTCCCAAGGTGCAGGCAGGTCCCTGAGCTGTCAGCCTGGCCTGCTTTGCAGTCTTGTCACGCTACTTAAATTGGGCTCAGCAGAAAGCAATTTAAAGAGTGTCAGGGCAGGCGGCTGACTCTGGTGGCAAAGGGCTCTCACGCCAGTGGCTTGATAAACGAGATCCAACTTGCCACAGTGAGGTCGATAACCAGCAGCTGAGCATGCCATGGCAGAAAAGGGGAATGACACTCTTCCACCACTCAGGCATGCACACACCAAGACTTTTAGACCTGACAGTCTTGACTGGTTCCATTCTGGCCCTACTAGGAATGAAATATAGAACAAATAGGAAAAGTATTTCAGGCAATCCAGCTCATTGGAGTTGGCTGTACCCATCCTAATCCCTGATTTATTTAACTAACCCATTGTATGAGTTCCTACAATTCACTGAAATGTAAACTAACCTCCTGACTACATATACAGTGGGTCTCCACAGCATACAGAGTTACAAACTAGATATTTGGATTTAGCTTGTTGTACACTGGAGTCCCTGAGATAGACTTCATTGCAGCCAAACCAATCTTCTCTGATGGTTTTGCAATTTGCTAAATTAGAGTTCCCATAATCTTCAACCACAACAGCTGTTGTGGATGATGATAATTTAAATCCAATACTTATGGAGGGACCAGAGTAACGAAGGCTTATCCAAAGGGCAGACAGCAGGGAAAAAAACAAAACCAATTGTACCATATCATGGAATGATGTCCTCAGCACATCTCAAACCCAGGAAGGATGTCTTCAGGAACTTAACAGTTTTACTGTATTGTTCAACACTCCCTTTTGGTCATTTGGGTCCGTTTTCAAGGCCACACAGTCATCCTCCACTTCCTTTAAAAAAGGATTCACATGTCCAAGAGACTTTATGACATCATGATAAAACTTTGTTAGGAATCTGAACATTCTTCTTTTAGTGTTCCATCTCCTTCCCACTCTCTTCTCCTGTATCATGATTATGTAGCACAAGGATGATAAAAATAGGAAGACCTAATCTTAACCTCAGCCTTCCAATATTTTCAAAATCAGCAGTTCCTCTGATTCAGAGAAACAGCCATGAGTGCAAAAAATCTCTTGTTCTAAAACAACATTCCCAAGGATAGAATCAGTCGAAGAAGGGTGCTTGTATACTTTTGAAAGAATAGTCAGGCCAATGGATGTGAGAGGCCAGCCTTTGCATAGTTGACTGAATCTATCAGTATGTCTGGATAAAGGATTTGTTTGATGTTCAGCTGCAGTCTGCTCTGGATATATGGGCAGGATATAAGATATTATTCTTATATTCTTAGCTTCCTCTGCAGTTCCCAGTAGGTGAAAAATCAGTAAGAGTATGGGAATGTTTAAGCACTGCATTTTCTTTGTGCTCATATAAGGTAGAAGGTTGAAAAGGTTTTAAAAATGAGTTTGAGAGGTGGATTACATAAAGCAACTGCATTTCTGCTCTTGGTTATGGTCTCTGTATCCCAAGATCAAAAGTCAGAGTTAACTTTCTCTTCTAGTGCATGCAATACAGTCAAGTAAATAATTCACAATTACTGAAGCCCAGATGATAAAAGACAAAAGAAGAGTATAATCTACTGGAGAAAGAAAAATAAATTAATGGTGCAAATATATGGGAAAACTACACAAAACATTCTCAACCAGACATTTCAGTAGGCCCTAAAAAAATACTGTTAGCAATAAAACTGTAGGAGCTGATGAAATATCAGCAGAACCTTAGCAAGTTTCTTAAAGTGCTATTTGTGATTTGTAAAGAGGTGTGGCAAACACAGCAGTGGCCAAGGGACTAAAATGATCAATTTACATTCCAGTATCAAAAAAGATTAGTGATCAAGAATGCCCAATCAAATAGTTGCAGATACCTTGCTAGCATGTAAGACAGTAATGGCGAACCTTTTAGAGACGGAGTGCCCAAAAACTACCCTGCCCCTTTCCCCATCACTCTGCCCCACCTGCTCCACCCCCACCCCACCCTGGTCCTGCCCTACCTGCTGGGCCACCCACCACCTCCATGGCCCGCCACAGATCACTCAGGTGGCCCTGCAGTGCCATGGTGGCCACACCCTCCACCTGTGCCCTACATCATCTGAGCGTGATGGGGCATGAGGATGGAGTCTTGTCCCTGCTGTCCAACTGCCATGTGCTTGGCTATGCTGCTCTGCGCCTGGGGGCAACTCTGGGGGGGCTGCTGATGAGGGGGCCATAGGGAGCAGGGCTGGGGACATGGCGTGCATGCCCACAGAGAGGGCTCTGAGTGCCGCCTCTGGCACGCGTGCCAGAGGTTTGCCACCACTGATGTAAGATAAAGTTTAACATTTTATAGTCCAAACTTCAGTATATGAAATGAGAACTCCCAGATGTGCAGGAATTCAGAAAAGGCGCAGAAGCACCTGAGACCATTGTGTAGTGTCTGATGGATATAGAAAAAGCAACGGAGTTCCAAAAAGACATCAGCTTTTCATGGTATTGATTGTACTACAACTTGTGACTGTGTAAACCTCAACAAGTTGTGAATAGGTCTTAAAAACGGGCGTACCATGTCTTATTTGTTGGCCAGGAAGTAGCAGCTGGAATGGATTATTAAAGAATTAAATGGTTCAATGTTTGGAAAGGAACACACCAAAATTATAGGTCAGTGGTGGCGAACCTATGGCACGGGTGCCAGAGGCGGCACTCAGAGCCCTCTCTGTGGGCACGCGCGCCATGCCCCGGAGATGGCAACTGTCCCTCTTCAACCAGCTGCCTGCTAACTTGCCAAGGTCCCATGTGGCCAGATGCATCCCACCCCCTGGATCTCGCCCAACCTTGCCCGGCCCCCACAGGCATCCCTCCCCACAAGTAACATTGAAGTGACCACGCCAACCTTGGCCACACCCACCCAGTCTGCCATGACCAACAGCCACGCCCACCCAGTGGGCCATGACCACCTGGCACCCGGCGATAAATAAGTGGGTTTTGGGTTGCAATTTGGGCACTTGGTCTCTAAAAGGTTCGCCATCACTGTTATAGGTGGTCAGGTTACTTATTTAACTTATACACAAAATGTACCCTGAGAGAAATGCTGGACTACAGGAACTAAAGATGAGAATTTAAATTGTTTGGAAAAGCATTATTCTCAGATATCTGAAAATACCGCTTAAATGGTATAAATATAAGGAAGATTTAAGGAATCTGTTACTGAAAATGAAAGAAGAAAATATCAAAGCCAGTACAGGTGGTCCTCAACTTATGACCACAATTGAACCCCAAATTTCTGTTGCTACGTGAGATATTTGTTAAGGAATTTTGCCCCATTTTACGATCTTTCATGCCATGGTTGTTAAATGAATCGTTTCAGTTAAGTTAGTAACAGAGTTGTTAAGTGAATCTGGCTTCCCCATTGATTTTGCTGATCAGAAGTTCACAAAAGGTGATCGCATGACCTTGGGACACTGCAACCGTCATAAATATGAGGCAGTTGCCAAGCGTCTGCATTTTGATCACATGACCCTGGGGGTGCTGCAATGGTTGTGTGAAAAAGGTCATAACTCACTTTTTTTCAGTGCCGTTGTAACTTTGAACAGTCATTAAATGAACTGTTGTAAGTCAAGGGCTAGCAGTAGGCTGTTCAGGATTTTAAAAACAAATCAGGCGGTACCAATCTACATTCCTAGGCTCAAAATTTTTTAGGAAGGGTAACTGTGGCCATGAAATAAAGAGACTGACGTCTGCTACTTGAGAGAAAAATTATGGCAAAGAAAGAGCAGAGACATCATACTGCCAAACAAAAGTACATATTGTTAAGGCCATGGTTTCCCCAGCTATAATAGATGACTGAAAGCTAGAACATCAGAAAGGATGAACAATGAGAAGTGCATACTTCTACATTGTGCTGCTAGAGAAATTTGCTGAAAATACCTTGGATGGAGTAAAAGAATGCACACTGAAAGCACTAATAATGGAGCTAAAGTTTAAATATTTTGAACATAATAGAAAAGGTTATCAGAAAAATCCAAGTACTTGGGAAAAGGTACTATATAATCAGAAAATGAAGTCAGACAAAATTACTGATATCACAAGCACGAGAGCACAGTTATCTACAGACAATTCTGTCAAATAATGCCAGTGGGTCACAAGATGTCAAGTAACTACACAGCCAAATGGTTAGGCTTATTATAACTGGCCTGCAAAAACCCATGCAAACATTGGATGGCAGCAAAGAGATACAAGAATTCTGAGTCTCTGCTGCCATCTAGTGGTTGCTTAGATATAGTAGCTAAAATACTACAACCAAACCTTAGAACAGTGGTTCTCAACCTTTTTAATGCCGCGACCCCCAACCAGTCGTAAGTTGAGGACTACTCAACCGGTCGTAAGTTGAGGACTACTCAACTGGTGCAGCACCGTTTGCAGAATGGGACTTTTGGCGGGCTCAGCAGGGCAGAGACAGCCTGGATAATTCCTGTTGGCTTTTGAAAGCCAATAGAATTAGACTCTATTCAAGAGAGTCTATTCTATTGGCTTTCAAAAGCCAATAGAATAAAAGGGAGTAGCACAGCTAAGGAAAAGGGGGAAAAAAATGGCAGACTGCGTTGTTTGGCGACCCCTGTGAAATGGTCGTTCGACCCCAAATGGGGTCCCAACCCACAGGTTGAGAACCACTGCCTTAGAAGATGACCCAACTGTATACTGCACAGGAATCTGACTAGGAATGTATTATTCTAAAAACCTCTGACATTTTCTGAGCTATAAACCTGCCTGAAAGGCAGTTTGATATAGCCGTTCAGACAGTATCAGAAACTGGGACATTCTTGGATTCTAGTTTATTTATTTATTAAATTTATATGCCATCTATCTCTCCCTAAAATGTCACTCTGAGTTCTGCCAACACAAAGCCAGCTGGATGTTCTTAGGCCAGTCACTCTCCCTCAGCCTTGGGAAGTAGGCAAGAGCAAACCACCTCCAAAAATCTTGTCAAGAAAACTTCAGGAAAGAGTTGCCAAAGGTCAACACTGACTGAAAGGTGCAAGCACACACATATACTCACACTCACAAAACCTGTATACTTTTAAAATCACACTAGGAGTTTTAAACTGGTTTGCTAGATTTATTTATTATTTATTTATTTATATTTAAATGTATTGGCCGTCCAACTCCAGTGGACTCGGCACCATACAAAATTAGAATGAACCATATAGAAAATAGAATAGAATACAATTTAAAACAGAATAGAGCTGGAAGGGTCGTTGGAGGTCTTCTAGTCCAGCCCCCCGCTCAAGCAAGAGAACCTAAGCAATAATCAAGCCATAACATGTTTTACTTGTATTGTATATGAACCAGGTGGTGGCTATAGTAAACCTTATAAGAGTCCTTCAGCAGAGGGCAGCGAAAATTGACACTTAGTGCTTAGACACTGATGGGCTAATAGCTGAAGCTATTCTATCAATTGCTTCTAAGAGCTTTTCTGTTTGGCTAAGTCAGTAGTACCCATCAGTCCTTCAGCCAACAAAAAAAAATTCATTGGCATAAAGTTCGTTGCCTCAACTGTTGACCCCAATCCTTTCACAGTGTATATTAAAGACATGTATTGGATCCCTCCACCCCAAGCTAAATTTCCTTTCCCTCCCACCAGACATCACCAGCCAGTTGGGAAATATCCACCATCCTCAAAGAGCATGGGGCCAGAGAGAAGGAAAGTTTTGATCGCTGTATAGATGTTGGGTTAACTGTCTATCAAAACTCATTCTTGATTTGCAGAATTGTTATGCACAGGTACATTCAAAGGGAACCTATCATTACTTCACTGCACCGTCCATCTCCTTCCACTGCTGAATCACTTCCTGGTCAGGCAGATCCAGGTCTCCAAGATGGGATTGGTCAGAGACCTGAAAAATAAGGGGAAGAGACTTGTCTTGGAAGATCACGCGAAGTATTAGTACCGCTTTATAAAACCCTAGTAAGACCACACCTGGAATACTGCAGCCAATTTTGGTCACCATATCACAAAAAAGATGTCAAGAGTATGGAAAAAATTCAGAGAAAAGCAACTAGGATGATCAAAGGCCTGGAGACTAAAACATATGAAGAACAGCTGCGGGACTTGGGTTTAGCTAGTCTAAAGAAAAGAAGAAATAGGGGAGACATGATAGCAGTATTCCAGTATTTGAGGGGCCACAAAGAAGAGGGGGTCATGTTATTCTCCAAAGCACCAGAAGATAGGACAAGAAGCAATGGTTGGAAACTGATCAAAAAGAGAAGCATCCTGGATTTAAGGAGAAACTTCCTGACAGTGAGGACAATTAACCAGTGGAACAGCTTGCCTCCAGAATTTGTGGGCACTCCATCACTGGAGATTTTTAAGAAGACTGTTAGACAGTCACTTGTCTGAGATGGTATAGGTTCTCCTGCTTGATCAGGGGGCTGGACAAGAAAACCTCCAAGGTTCTATTCTATTCTATTCTATTCTATTCTATTCTATTCTATTCTATTCTATTCTATTCTATTCTATTCTATTCTATTCAGACCCAGTCAGGCAGCTGGAGGGAAATGCCCATCAATGCACCACGCTAAAGGAGCCAATAGGTGTTGTGCTGATCCTGCCCCCAGGGTTCACTGGATTGCATCATTGACAGGATGGGAGAAAATTGTCCTTGAACACAAGTATGCTGAAGACGCCTTAAGGCTGCCTCACTATGAGGAACAGATTGGATGAAAGGAACATCATGAGGATACAGTAGATCAAAGAGGTTGCTGGGTATGTATATGCCACAGTTAAGTGCATGTGAGAAAAAAGCTGTTTAAAACACAGCAAAGGAACCCTGTGTTTTATCATTTGTATGTGTGGAAATGTACTTTATTTTGAACTTCCTGTGCCTCCAGCTCTGGCCTTGCAGAAACTGCCTCTACTAACTTACTCCTTGGATTTATGAGAAATGCATAAGATTCAAACATGAAACTCTGCACATAGGAGGGGAGCATGGAGGGTCAAGAGACAAATGTGCATTGCAGTGTTGTGATGCAAACCATATCGCATACATTCTTGCCTGCAACACTGGGTTGTAGCCTTGAAAGGCTTGGTTTGGGCTTTCTGTGCTGCTCCAGCCTGAATGTTGTGAGCTCATGACTTCCATTTGTCATTTTGCAGCACTGCAATTTTTACCAAAGCAAGGTTGATGGGAGAAGAGATAATACAAGTACGACCCAGCTGGTTTCAATGATGCTAGGGGAAAGTGACATCTATAAACTCATGTATATCAAATATTGGAATTTAAGGTGGTTGGTAGTTAAGGCCAACTTTTCAGGACTCACAGAGACAGGTCTTCAGGCTGTGGGAGCAGCTGTTTATCGAATGCCACCTGCTGACCTCCTGTTTCCTGATATGAGTGTGTACTGAAGATCTAAAGGAGTTGGAAATGTCACCTGTCACTCAGCAGTGCATATGTTGTTGACTTTTGGCAGGTGAAATTGTAGAACATGTGACACTGGGGTCTGTTTTTTTCCCCAGGAGAACATATTTACACCACTTCAGGACATTCCATAATTACATGAAACTGAAGGCTTTAGAGAGTTGTGGACTTCAATTCCAAGGGCAGTTGAAGGACTCAAGTGAAATGTATTACAATACACTGAATTAAAGATGTAGAAACAATTTCAATAGATACAGGTCAATAGCTGAAATTCCCATGAAGCTTTGGGAAAAATAATATTAATAAAAAAAATATAAGAAATAATGTATGTTCTATGACATGTGTCAAGCTCCATGGGCTCGACACTCAAGAGGGGGGGGAAGGCACCAGTGCCACCAGAGGCGTACTTCCATCAAACCCGGTCCGTCAGCTTACGGGACGTGTAAGCAGAGGGCCGTAACGTCCCTTGCCCATTCCTCTGGAGCAAAACCACACCCACCGTGATGTCACTGGCATCGGCTTGCACGACAAACAGCAGGTCAGGGTTAGGGTGGAGCAAAACCGGCTCCCTCGCGAACAGGGCCTTTAGGTTCTCAAAGGCCTTCTGGCATGCCATGGTCCATGCCAGTGGTTGACCGGGGCATGGCTTGGTTGCGGTCTATCATGTGCGGAGTAGGTCAGTTAGGGGTAGGGCCACCGCAGCAAACGAGGGGATGAACTGCCGATAGAAATCGGCGAATCCCAGGAAACTGTAACAGGGTGGGGGCAAGCTAGAAATTATGGGCGCACCATCACTGGAGATTTTTAAAAAGAGGCTAGACAATCACTTGTCTGAAATGGTATAGGTCAGGGGTAGGCAACCTCGGCTCTTTTATGACTCATGGACTTCAACTCCCAGAATTCCTGAGTTAGCTGACTCGGGAATTCTGGGAGTTGAAGTCCATGAGTTATAAAACAGCCGAGGTTGCCTACCCCAGGTATAGGTTCTCCGGCTTGAGCAGGGGGCTGGACTAAAAGACCTCCAAGGTCCCTTCCAGCTCTATTTTATTATATTTTCTCTAACTTGTGCATCTGTATAAAATATCTAGTAGGATTAACATGTCATAGAACGTACATTAATTCTTATATTCATTTTTATTAATATTAATTTTTCCCAAAGACTTCATGGGAGTGTTTATGAGAGACTAAAATCCCTCAAATATCTTTGACCAAAGTGAGCCATGATGATGGCTTTAATCTTCAAGATTTTTCACTATCATATGGCCTACCAAATGAATATGGTCTAGATTTAATGATTGGCCAACCGTTGCATTAACTTTATATAATTATCTGTAGTTCTTATGGAAATCCTACTAAATAGGTTTCTTCCCTCTCTTGTCATGTTTATTTTAATCACTAGACTATATCTTATCTTTCTTTACTGTATTGCTTTTTCTGTTGGTAGGGTAGAATTGTTTTTTTTTTTTTTTTTTTTGGTCTTTCACCCTTATTAAACAAATAAATGATAAATGCTTTTAAAATTCAAAAAGTCCAGTGTGTCAGAAGAGGGATTTTTTTTGCCCCCTTAGGGAAGAATTGGCTGCTTTGAGGACTTGCAGTACTTGGAAAATCGGACTGAAAATCTGAACATCCTTGCAAAACTATGCACGCCTGTTTTTCTCTGTGAAAATGCCCCCCCCAATCCTGCTTGTGCCCTGGCTGCGGTTTCTGGAGCTCCCCAAGGTGGTTCCTTTCATTATGGGATATATGGCACTGCAAGCAGTCTGTCAGAAGTCCTTTCCCTGGGCGGTCATGCCTGCTGCCCTTGATGGGCTGGCAGAGACACAGACCTGGGTGCCTGCTGGCTTTTTGAAACACAAACAAGGAGGGCTGACTTTCCCTGATGGAAGGCACCTTGGATATTGGATGGGGTCAATAGAAAGGGGCACTCAAGTCAGTTGATGCTGAGAGGAGGGATGCAAAATCCCATTGCTCGATCTGCATGCGGAGAGTCGAATGGCAAAAGATCTCTGAGGACTAGAATCTTGCAGGGAGAATGCCCTGCACAGCCATGATTCAAAGGAGGACTGGCCCTTAACATTCCCCTTCCTTTACACTACTTCCAGGGTAAGGAGGAGCTCGTTGATATATTGTGGCACTGAGCAAAGAGACTGGGAGAGAAAGGTGAAAAGCAGATGGGCAGAAGGGAATCTGGCCGTATGTTCACCTTTAAATAACAAGTGGCATGTAAAGCTCCCAGAAGCAACTCTGGGAAATTATATCTAGCACAGATAGCATAGTAGCCCTGTTGCTACTGGCTGTTCATGACTAGATTAAAGAAGAGGCAAAATTCTTGGTTTTAATTCTTTATGCCACTTACTGCAATCTCTGCACATTTACTTCGAAGTAACATCTATTATGTTCAATGGGGCTTATTTCTAGAAATTGAGAATAAACTTGCATCTAATTGTGGTTTGGTTTTTTTGGGGGGGAGGTAGTACTTTGATACTAATAGACCCTAGTGCTAAAGATGCCCATTTTGAATCAAAAAATTCTCAGTTTAGGATTAGAAAGGAACAAAGGATTATCTACCAAAAATATAGGTAGTCCTTGAGCTATAACTGCAACTGGGACCAGAATTTCCCCTGCTAAGTTGCTAAGTAGGTTGGACCCAAATTTACAACCTTTTTTGCCATTTAAGCAAACCAGTGCAGTTATATCAAGCGAATCATGAGGTTGTTAAGTGAATCTAGCTTTCCCCATTGACTTTGTTGGTTGAAGCCATCTGGGAAGATTGCAAATGGCAATCACGTGACCCTGGGATGCTGCAACCGTCAAATACATGCTGGTTGCCAAGTGCTCAGATTTGATCATGTCACTGTGCATATGCTGTGAAGACGGGCTATAAACCACTTTTTTTCAGTGCCATTGTAATTTTCAACAGTCGCTGAACAAATGATTATAAGTCATGGACTACTTGTATACTTATTTCCTCCTCCAAGCTTTATTTAAATCCATAGGACAGAGGATGACAAATTAAACTGCAGTACTATATATAATGATATATAGGCATTTTATTATGTAAGTAATTATTTGATGTCCTTTTATAGCAAAAAAAAAAAAAAAAAAAGCCGGGCGTGGGGGGCATCCATTCTGCCAGAGGTCAGGCCTTCTCCTGCAAAGAATGCCTGCCATGCTAAACCCTTTTGCAAGATTAATAATAATAATAATAATAATAATAATGATAATGATAATGTTGGAAGGGACCTTGGAGGTCATCAAGTCCAACCCCCTGCTCAGGCAGGTAACCCTATACCATTTCGGACAAATGGCTGTCCAGTTTCTTCTTAAAAACTTCCAGTGTTGGAGCATTCACTGCTTCTGGAGGCAGGTTGTTCAACTGGTTAATTGTTCTAACTGTCAGGAAGTTTCTCCTTAGTTCTAGGTTGCTTCTCTCCTTGATTAGTTTCCACCCGTTGCTTCTTGTCCTGCCTTCAGGCGCTTTGGAGAATAGCCTGACTCCCTCTTCTTTGTGGCAGCCCCTGAGATATTGGAACACTGCTATCATATCCCCCCTCATCCTTCTTTTCATTAAACTAGACATACCCAATTCCAACAACCGTTCCTTATATGTTTAGCCTCCAGTCCCCTAATCATCTTTGTTGCTCTTCTCTGTACTCTTTCTAGAAATCCAGGTTGAGCCAGCTGCTTGAAATCTAATTGATATTGATTAGCAATTAAAAAGCAAACGATTATTCTAAAAGCAGCAACAATACTGCATTTTCAGAGAGAGATATTCTTGTTATCATTCAGCCTAAGATGTGGAAAATTAAACTGGTATAATTTCTATAAATGACTTTAGCACTGTCCAAAAATTGACCGCCCAGGAAAATAGCAAAAGCTAGGCCTTTCACAAGCCATTATAATCGATTAGTTTTGGAAAGAGCCTTTAAAAATAGGCACCCTTCAAATTTACTATAATAAGGCATACCCAGATCTTTGCTTCTGTAATATATATATATTTCTCTTTCCATAAGCTGTACTCTTTAGCTTCTGGTCACTTTTATTGGAGAGCCATTTTTGATAAAAGAGTCAGGGAGTCAAAGGCAATAAAGGCTTTAGGCAATTATTCCAGCTTCCCTGCCTTCCACCCCCAGGCATCTCTTTGCCTGCCGGACAGTACAAAATTAGCATTTCAAGTGCAGGAAAGGGCAATGCGAATCGTCAAAAGGCAAGAACACTTATGAGAAAAAAGGGGAAAATATTGGAAGCTTTTCCTTGGTAATAAAGACACCTAAAGGGAGACATGATAAAGGGGTTGATAACATGATGCGCCGGGTGGGTAAAGCAAACAGCGCTTTCCTCTTTT